AGGTCCCTGGGGAGGCAGGAAACACGTTTTAACAGCTGGCTTGAAGCGGGGCGGAGCAGAACTCAAACAGAACTGTTTCCTGCTTTGTGGATGGGTTAAGCATCCCCCTGGCCCGGCCGGCGTAGCTCAGTGGTTGAGCATCGACCTCTGAACCAGGAGCTCACGGTTCGATTCCCGGTCAGGGCACATGCCCGGGGTGGGGCGTGCAGGAGGCAGCGGATCCATGATTCTCTCTCGTCATTGATGTCTCTCTCTCTCTCTGTCTCCCTCTCCCTTCCTCTCTGAAATAAGAAAAGAACGCTCTCTGCCCGTTTCGTGGGCGTGTCATGGGAAAGGGGGAAAGGGGATTGTTCGAGGTCCCTCGGTCGCCTGGGATTCTTGAGCCTGGGACTCACCGGCTGATGGCTTTCTTGTCTGAAAAGATCCGCAGGCAGAAATCGGCCTCCTGGTGCGGCTCGAAGGTGCTGGGGATGAGGATGTAGTCCCCGGGGGGCAGCTGGAACCGGTCGGAGACTTCCCGCAGGTTGATGAAGCTCTTGCTCCTGGCCTGGGAGGCGTGGTACCGGAAGAAGTCCTTGTCCAAGTGGTCCTCCTGCCCGGGGCACTGCGGGGGGAGAGGCAAGGGTGCTGGTTCCCACTAATTGCTGTTCTTATTTTTAAATCCTCACCCGGGGATATTTTCCCATTGATTTCTTAGAGGGAGTGGAAGAGAGAGGGAAAGACAGAGAGAGAGAGAGCATTGATGTGAGAGAAACACATCGATGGGTGGCCTCCTGCACGAGCCCCGACCAGGGCCCGGGCCGGGGATGGTGCCTGCAACTGAGGTACGTGCCCTTGACCGGACTCGAACCCGGGACCCTTCGGTCCGCAGGTCGACGCTCTATCCACTGAGCCACACCAGCCAGGGCGGTTTTCACTCTTTGGACCCAGTTTGGGGCCTGGCCATTGCGTCTCAGGCCGGGGCCCGGGAGGAGCCATACTGTGAACGCAGCCGCGGCGGCTCGCACCCACCTGGTAGATGGCGTAGCCGATGGTCAGCACGTTGGCCCCGAACCGCTTGAGTTTCCTGCGGTCCTTCTGCATCAGCGCCACGAGCAGCGTGCACGCCTCCTGCCCGTCGTCCTTCTCGGTCAGGGACAGTCTGATCTGCGGGTTGGTCCAGAAGGTGTCTGCGTGGGGAAGAGGTGGGTTGCTTCTCCTCCTTTAAAAAACCACGAAGGACACACACGCACACACATGCATATGCACACACACCGCACATGCACACACGCATGCACATGCAGGACTGTGTGCGTTGTGTTTTCTGTCCCTCATGTTGGAAAACAACCTGGTGGTAGAACAAGGGCGCTTCCCCCAGCAGTTCTTGCCCAGCTCCCTGCCAGGTGGCCCCTCTCCCTCCTTCCCCAAGCGTCCCTGAGACCCTACAGTCTGACCCCACGGTTCAGGCTTCCTCCAGGGCCCTGGCCCTGATCCGCGACGTCCCCGAGTTGGGCTGGGCACTCGGGGATGACGAGAGAGTGGCAGGCAGACTACGAACCCAGGAAGTTGCGGCAGCCACCGGCCGTGGAGCCCCGCACCCAGCTGCCCTGGTGCACCGTCACCTCCCACTTGTGGGGCGCGTCCTCCTCCAGGGCGTCTGGCGTGAGGTTGCAGATCTCGACTTTGTCGAAGTGGGCCTTAAAGTCGCTAAAGGCCATCCTGCGACAGAGCGGGGGACACGGTGCGTGGGCGGAGGTGGTGATGACGCGACTCACCCATCCATCCGTTCACTCATTCATTCATCCATTCACTCATTCACTCCTTCATGCATTCATGTATTCATTCACTCATTCATTCACTCACTCACTTATTCACTCATTGCTGGCTGCCTCTTGGGAGGGTGCCTGCCTCTCGCAATACTGGCTCGGTCTACGCTTTCAGATGCTCTCAGGGTAACTGCCTTTAGGCTCTCTGTCCTCAAGATGGGCATGGGGGGAGGGGACCCTGTGAGCACCAGCACCCCCTCCCCCACGATGAAATTCACCCCCAAACTCCGGGCGGGCGGGCGCTCAGAGGAAGGGATTCTGGAGAGAGAGGCTCCACCCCATGCTCTCGACTCCCGGAGACGGGCTGAGCTCCCCGAAAACAGAACAGACTGAGCCATCTGCCAACCTGGGTGCACATGGGGGTGGGGGGCGTTGAGACAGAGGGACTGGATTTACCCACAATAAACAAACACACAAATGAAAGAAGGGGAAATAAGTAAATGAATAAGTGAAGGGATAAAGAATACGCCAAAGACGGGGGAAGGAAATGCTTAAGTCGGTGACAGTGTGCCCCTTGCCCCTGAGGCCGGTGGCGCCCGCTCCCGCGAGGCCGGCACAGAAACGGGGAAGGAGGCGCCCCGGTACC